GAAACCCGACTCCCTCCCATTGGAGGGAGTGCCGAACCTTCCAACACTCCATCCAATGGGAGTGTGCCGGGTGTCCATTATGGACACCCTTATGTACACCTTTGTGTACTTGTAGCATTTTTCATAAAGATATTGCGGGGTTGTCGCCACCCCAACCCTGTTTTCCCTCCATTTTCGCGATATTATTTCATAATGTTCTAAACAATGAAACTACGAGACTTTGCAATAAATTAACAAACAATTGCTTGACAATTTGGATTTCTCGAAGCTTGCAATGAAATTGATTCCATATAAAAATTTGAACGGTTAAAAATGTAAAAATATATATAATTCTATATTTATTATATATATTTTAAACACATCTTAATTTTATGTAGAGATTTGATTTATTTTTCTTCAAAAATCAAAAGTTACAATTTTCAAATATGGAGACAAAATTTATGACATGTTTGTTTTAAATTAAAATCAGATTTTAATTTAAATCAAAGCCAAACAATCAATATTAATCACATTTTTTATAAGTCTCACAACTTTTCAATCACGCATTTCAAAAATTTCAATGACAGTTCACTAAAAATTTAATTTCAATTTCCACCCATCGCCCACTTAATGTATGCTTGGGTGGACGACATACTTAGCTGTTTCATTCCGTACTTCTTCATCTTGTATTGTCTAATGTCTCTGTCTATGGACTGCTCCATGGCCATGGGACCCAGCCCAATTCATGTACAACCACAATAATCCTACGCTAAGATGATTTTGAGCTCTTCCCACCATGAGTCTCTATTGAGTTCAGTGTTTGTCTGGCATGGAAAGGCATTCTTGTCCTCTAGTGTTCGTGGGTCTATCGAGTGGGTGGGGGCAAGCTCTGACTCAGCGAGAGAGATATTTAGGCTCTATTTGGTACACATTATTATTTTTATTCTCATTCTTCTTTTTATTTTTAACCACACATTCTTCAATAAAATAATATTTTTCATCACATCAATAATCTTTCTTTCATTTTTAACCACACATTCTCCATCAATCTATTATTCAATAATACATTCTTTCAAAAAAATGTGTCTCAAACACACTCTACTGATCAAAAATCGGGGTGCCAAAAAATTATTTTTTCCGCTTGACGAGTATTTTACCCTATTTGTAATTTTCGTCTCGTATGAACTTTTTTCCGTTATAGTATTTTAGATTTTCGTCTCAAATCATATTTGAAATATAGAAGTCGGGAAAAGTCGGGATGAGAGTCCGAACAAAATTCTAAACTTAAGCAATAAGTTTGAATGAGAATATAACGCGTTGTTAAAAAGGAAAAAGAAATTAAAACTTTATTCACTGTATTAAGTTTTTCTTCACGAATTCGAATTTAATGTACAAGTATTTTTAGGTTAATATGCTTTTTAATGTCTTTTCAACTTCCTTTTCTAATTATTCTAATTCGAATATGAGAATAGAGAATAATAATACCAATCTTGCTGAGTATATCTACTTTAATTCATGATTTAATTAAAATTTTATTCTTAGTTTTAAAAATTATATTTTGGGTTAGTCGAATTGTGTCGTGTTAGGACACAACAGAGGACTACGTTATGCATATACATTAAAGTACAGGGCTTCTCTGTAATTTATTAAAAGTTAAAATTTACACCAAAGAGGTTTGAACCATGACTCCACAATTTAGTACTAATTCTTCCGTGGTCCCCACTTAATTCCTGTTTTGCGGGGACAAACATTATACTATTTTATTAAAAAATAACATAAAATAACCAGCCACATTTGACTAACACACGCTCGTAACAAACATATGATGAGATAAAAACCCGAATACACTCGCTCCAACGAAAGTTCATCAAAGTAAAAGTAGAGAAAGAAAGTCGATATTTTATTGGTTGATTGTGTACATGGACGATTTATTGGCTGTTCTCTTTGTATTTGAGTTTTGTGTTTTAGGTTCTAAATTCATTTTGAGTTTTGTGTTTTGAGTGTCCATTTTGAGATTGTTGAAAATGTGTTCTTTTTGTCATTTTGGAAAATTATTTTCAAAAATAAAAAAAAATGAAGTTTTTGCTTGATTNGAAAAATTATTTTGAAAACACTCAAAGTGTGTTTTGAAAATTTTAACTTGATTATAACTGAAAACACCCAAAACGACAAATTTTTCGTTTTGGATTTTTTTGTAAATCTTTAACTTGTTTTCAAAAACGCGTTTTCGCAAATGAAAAAGAGAACGCGTTTTCATTATTTTTGAAAATCAAAAACAGAAAATAGTTTGAAAATGATAAAAAGAATAGACTCTTAGAGTTTTTATCCTAAGTTGAAGTCCAATTTAACTCCTTCGACAATCAATCCCAGAGTATATATAGTGGATCTAGTTGATACATTGAACTAATTGAGCAAACGGGAAAGTGCTTAATTTACCAATTCTAATATTTTTTTCCATTCTAAACTAATTGATTGTCAACATTTATAATGATGGGATGGTAGGAGCTATGAACATTTATTTTTCTTAAATTTGCATCTTGGTTGTTGAGGTTTTAATGACTTCATAACCATTGGCTATTGCTGCTTGAGTGAAGCTGAAGCATCAAACTACTCTTGTCAAATCAAATCTATTAAGTTGTCTATTTTCTCCTCTTCCCTTTTAACCAAAAAATTTGGCTTACACATTACTCCTATCAATTTATCTTCTCGAAAACGTAGCAATCTTATAAGATTCAGACCCAACAGAAAAATGATATTCATCCCTAGTGGGGATGCATCCACAGTCTATGTGACGTTAATACCAGTGATGATGAATAGCATTTCTCGACCCAACAACTTGAGTCGTTGAAAAACCTGAGTATTGGTCGGATCACTCCAAACATCTTCATATCAGCTGATTCATTTTAAGTTTTATATTTAATTAATTTTACTACCATTGGATATCGACTCGATCGCTTATTATTGATTCTTTATTCTATTATATTCGAATTGATACATTAAGTGTTTAAAACAAAAAAAAAAATTGTTCCTTGAGTGTTCATACTTCAAGAAGTACACGAATGCAACAGTCCAAAAGGGTTTAGATCTTTTGTGACAGAGCCTGAGACAGTAACGTTAGAATACCACAATTCACACGCGCACGTGCGCCTGCACACAATTCATATTCACACGTACGAGACACCATATACACACGTTTGATCACTGTTTTATAGCCACGTTTCATGGGTCCCCACCCCCCAAGAGATGCTTTCCCAACTGCAGTCACCGATTTGCGTTTTCTCTCTCTAATTTTTGTGCAAATATAATTAATTACTTTTATGGAATCACTTATAAGTAAATTTTTTTCGTCCACTCTTTGGGATTCAGCTCTGAAAATCACAAATTCACGAGTTAAATACACAAATGACCACCCAACTTTATACTTAATGTCAACATGACCATCCAATTTGATTTTATTTCACTATAACCACTCAATTTCATATAACGTTTCGTCATGACCATCTAATTTCATACAACATTTCAGCATGACCATCCAATTTCTTTTCACTATTTTCACTAATTTTAAAAAAGATAAATCGATAACTTTGTATTATATATATAAAATAAATTAAAAAAAACAAAAATAGAAGTTTTTGTTTAAAATTTTAAAACTTTTATTTTTAAAATAAGTTGTTATTTTCTTTGAAAAACGTGTTTTTAAATAAGTTTTTTTTAAAGGAAGTTCTTTTCTCAAATAACTTTTTATTTTATTTTATTTTTCTAAGTATATTTTACCCCTTTTAAAATTAATGAAAGTTGAAAAAAGAAGTTGGATGGTCATGATGAAGTGTTATATGAAATTAAATGGTCATGATAAAACGTTATATGAAATTAGGTGGCTATAGCGAAATAAAATCAAATGGGTGGTCATGATACACTAAAATATAGTAATATAAAATATAAAATTGAGTCGTCCAGATGAAATAAAATCAAATTGAGTAGCTATAGTCACATAAAATATAAAGTTGATTGGCGTATTTAAGCTCAAATTCACACATATATAGCGTATAGTATAGAGTATAGACACTGATATTTATGTATATTTAATCTGTATCTATAGACGGTGAAAAGGAGAGAGGTAGTTTATGGGTTCACGCTCTCTCTGTCTAGACAATTTCGTTTCTATCTCTAAGACTTTTGAGCTGATATGATGATCATTAGTTTTGTTTTCTTATATACTTTGAGCCAGTTTCGTTTACCATCATAATTTTTTTAGAGAGAGATGGGGGCATGTGTTTCTGGACCTAAGAATTGTGTGGGAGGTAAATCGGGAGTTTCAAAAATGAGGAATAGGAAAAGAAGGAAAGCTATGAAGAGAAATAATCCTTATCGTGTCTCTGATCGATCGTTGCCTTCGGATCGTCCCTTCAACAATCCCGCTGTCCATGGTTTTTTCTCACTCTTTCTTATTCATTGATTCAATTATGTATATCTTTGTATATGGATAGTTGTTTTGTGGCTTGTTTGGTGGTGGGTTGGAGAGTATTAATCGATTAGACAAGAAAAAAAGAAGTTAAAATCTCGATTGAATATTTGTTCAATCGCGTTGATTACTGCGTGCCAAAAATATTGATAGAGTTTGTATTTAAGATTGTTGCCTTGGGGTTATGAATTATTTGAATGCGTGGAGTTTCGATGATTGACAGTCTTTAAGTTGTACTGCATTGTGAAATGTGATTAAATTTGGGGAACAGGAGACATTGAAGGTTGATGATTTTTATATGAGACCTTGTTTTGTTTCGAATTATCTATCATGGATCTAGCTATGAGGGGAAGGGAAGGGAAGGGAAGGGAAGAATAACAATTTATGTAGCCGACCCCAAAATTTCTGGAGGAATGTAAGACTATTACTGGAAGGAAATTGAACTTTTGGGATCCACATAATGGGAGAAAATAAATGAAAAACGGAATAAAGAGGAAATACTCTGCTTGAGTTCTTGTAGGTTCGTTGCACCTAGTAAGGCTTTAATTATGATTAATGGGAGGAAGTCGCTTGATCGAGTTGTAAACTTGTTAAATGTGAATTGTTCTATCATGTTGTTTATATGTGGGATGGTATATAGACAATATCAGTGTCTGGCTCGCTTTGACTTTAAAACTAATCAGGATCGAGACTATCTTTCCCCAGTGATTGTATATACTTATCTTGATTTCCATCAATTGAAAGTCGAGCTTATTTTTCAAGTGACTGGAGGTGGACGATCTGTTAATGCTATAGATGGAGGTTTTTGAACTGCTTATGAAGTGAAGTTAACTGTTCTGTAACAATTCATTTTTCGGGGAAACATGAGCAGAGATATATGTTTACGTTTCCATTTGTCGATTAATTTCATAATTGATTTATGGCTTATACTATAGTGATGATGTGACATAGTTGCAAAATAGTAAAATCAGAGCTATTAATTTAATGGTACAAACTGTCATATTATAATTTCTATCACTGAAATAAAGGATAACTTTTAGTCCCTTGCCATTTATCTCAAATCAAATATAATTACCAATCATTTCCTCATCTTTGAGGTCATTAATTTTGCTTGGCTAAATTTATTCACACTTGTAATGGCATTCGCAGGAAGTGTTGAAGAAGCATGGTTTGATTCTGTTGCGGTACTTGAATCTGACTGGAGTGATGAAGATTTCCAAAGTGCTTCCGATGGTACAATACTTATACTTTTGTTAATTTAATCTTTCTTATGCCTCCAATATTAATAGCATGTTTCGTATGGCGGATTGGATAGTACTCAATGGTATGAAGAAAGGAAAAGAAGCTATAAATTATATTGTCCATTATTGCTTAATAAACATGCACTAATACTTATAATAAACTATACAGATGTGCTCTCTCAGAGTGGCTTTGATTGGGAATCATTAACTGGCCATTCCGCTCGCAACTCAGTCAGTGAAACAGCAAGAGTGAAATCTGATGGACCTCTAAACGAGATAAAGCCTGTGTTCGCTGATGAAATCTCCTCGACTTCCGGAGAAAATGCTGGCCGGGAGGGCAGCTTGTTGGACAATTGTGGAATTCTTCCGCACAACTGCTTGCCTTGTCTTGCTTCTACTGTCCCTTCAGTTGAAAAGAGAACATCCTTGAGCTCTAGTCCTCCAAGTACAAGGAAAAAGGCTGCCTTGAGACTTTCTTTCAAATGGAAGGAAGGACATCATAAAGCCACTTTATGTGAGTTCGACTAAAATTTATTATATTGATTAATTTTGGCAAAAATTGCATGGATTCAAAGAACACGAATATTACTGTTTGCATTATTATTCTTTTGTGCTCTTTTTCATTCTTAATTATGTTATAATGAATTCTCAGCTCGTACAATTCAATTTTGAGCTGACTTTTGTCCATCCAACCTCATTTTTTCCATAAAGGGAAAACATTGTTGCCACAACATGAGGAAGAAACGGAATATTCCGTGGAACTTTGTTGCTGTCTTACGCTCTGATCCATGTTTTAGTTTGTGAAAATACTCGTTATCTTATTGGGTTTCTGCTTCTTTTTGTATTCCTGATGTTAAATGTACTCTTCCACATGTTTTTTCGTATAATTGAGTCACTCATGACGGAAATCTGTGTGATTTTGTTGGGCAAGTATAATAACATAACTGCATTCTGCCCATTCATGTGGACCCCTTCTTGTGTAAGCTCTTCAAGATTAAACTAGTAAATATTTGTCTGAGCTGATTCAAATCCACCATAGTAATGTATTTTGAACTTATTGAGGTTCCCATAAGATGATGTTACGAATTAAGCACTAGTTCCAACTGCGAGAGCAATACCAATTAAAGCGAAATGAGAAACTCCCAAAAAAAAGCCTCCTCTTAAAAGTAATATTATGGCTACCTACGATACATTGGATGAGAGAACAGTATGACTAGGTTCCATACAATCCAATAAAGGTCGCTACCATGTAATTTGTTTTTTTAATTTACACGGATTTTATGCATCAATTCACATACTTTGCATAGTTGCTTTACCAGGATAATCCCATTGTTGGCATCATCTCTATGGATTTGGTTTTCTTAGTTCTCCAACTTGCATCGTAAATTCATATCATTACTGCAACTCAAAAAGGACGAAAACAAGTTCCTTTGGTATTTATTTTGTTGAATTCTTCATAATGTACTGCTAGATCAAAATTGCTACCGCTTTCAAATTATGTTTTTAGTTCATGGAATAGAATTTCAAATTAAATGGGTATACGAGTTCCTTCTTCTTAAAAGGATTTAAGCAGGGGGGAACTATTGGCCATCTGTATCGTAATTTTTGTTATCTATCCATGTTTTATATATTTATTGTCAATAGAAAATTGTCGTGGACTGTTAATGGGATTCTCAAATTTCAAAGTTAAATCATTTTTAATTTATGATTTATTGTAGTTTCTTCAAAGGCACTTCTGCAACGACCTCTAGCTGGTTCGCAAGTGCCTTTCTGTCCCTTCGGAAAGAGAGTAACTAATAGCTGGTCGAACATTGATCCGAGCACTTTCAAAGTTAGGGGAGAGAATTATTTGAGGTGCGAGAATGTACTCATTTCAATACATTAGTGTGCACATGAAGCTTTGTCAAGAGATTTTGTATTTACATCTTCCTTTGCAAATTTTCTATGCAGGGATAAGAGGAAGGAGTTTGCTTCTAATTCTGCCGCGTATTATCCTTTTGGTGTTGATGTATTTTTATCTCAGAGAAAAATTGATCATGTTGCTCGGTTTGTGCAACTTCCCGTTGGTGAATCGTCCGGGACACTTCCACCTATTCTTGTTGTGAATGTTCAGGTATTCCCACTTTTCAGGATGTCTGCACTCTCATAAGCTGACAGTAATATGTTAGTAACAGGATTTGGTGAGTTAGACACTAGGTTGTCTTCTTACAAATACAAGTAGCTATGCTATGACGCACAATTTAGTTAAGAAATTTAGAAATACGCATAAATATCATCTGTGTGAAAAATAATATAACTACAGTGTATTTGTGAGGATCAGAGTTTGTGTAGGTGGCCAGGAAGAGTCAAAACAATTTGATCACTCAAATTCCATTTGTGGAAAGTGGATTACACGGCTCTAAGCAAATATCCGTGATAACCAGCTTATTTCTATGCACGAAATTGATTTTCTTTAGGGCATAACAGAACCGCATGTTGTATCAGGCCTTCAGCCACACACTAGAAATATGAGAGTAGCTTATTTTTATTTTTCTTATATTAAAAGGTATCATTTTTTTTCTGGTTTTGCAGATTCCATTATATCCCGCGGCAATTTTTCTGGGTGAAAACGATGGGGAAGGAATAAGTTTTGTTTTGTATTTTAAACTTTCCGCAAACTATACCAAGGAACTTCCAACCCATTTTCAAGAAAGTATTAGAGTAAGTTGAAATCTATGAATCATTCACTTGTGGCATGCTTGGTAGTGAGGATTTGATACCAATGCAAACAAAACTTGCACTTCAATTTGTGATCTGTGATGGTGCGCTGAATGAATTCGATTATAAAATTTGGTAGATCTTGTACGTTCATACTCCTATTTAGTGATACGCGTGGCTTCTCAATGTATTTGATTTAATTTTTAAACATTTTGATTTCAGAGATTAATTGATGACGAAGTAGAAAAAGTTAAAGGCTTTCCCGTAGACACAATTGTACCCTTCAGGGAGAGGTTAAAGATATTGGGTCGTGTAGCAAATGTGGAAGATCTTCCTTTAAATGCAGCAGAAAGGAAACTCATGCACGCATACAATGAAAAACCCGTTCTTTCACGCCCTCAACATGAATTTTACTTGGTAAGTTCAAGTATTATCTCATGCTACTGTTAGAATGGTGAAATAAGAAATTATTTTCACCCCCGAGTTTTGGAAAATCGATCATACTTATTTGTTGATTTTAAAGAGCATGCGCAGTGCTATAGTACAGTTACAGTTCAATTATCTTATGAAAATGCATAAACTAGTTGGGGTAAGATATAAATTTTGCATTTCTTTGCAGGGTGAAAATTATTTAGAGATCGATTTGGATATGCATAGATTCAGCTACATATCTCGGAAGGGGTTCGAGACATTCTTCAATAGGGTAAAGCTCTGCATCATGGATTTCGGCCTCACGATCCAGGCAAGTCATGAATTACTTTTAAAACTTATTTTTGCCAACAATTTTCTCTGGATTTGGCTCATGTTTTTGTATATCATGCACCAGGGTAGCAAGGCTGAAGAATTGCCAGAGCAGATCTTATGTTGTGTAAGGTTAAATGAAATTGATTATGTGAATTACGAGCAACTTGGGTTTCTTCAGGAGTCCCTTGAATAGGTTCATGAATGATGTAAAAGCATAAGAGATGATGATAAATGAATGCAATTTATCTACAAAAGTTATTTCGTATCTATCGAACTACCTCGGATGAGTTTTAAAGTACTGCGACAATTTCATTAAATTTTCTTCTGCACATTCTCCGTAGCTTCCACTCTACTCCCTTCTGTCTTTTGCGCATTGAGATCGTCGTGCTCTAATACCATTTGTTAGAGTTGTAACAGTGAAAAATAAAGAACAGAATATGTATAAGCAAAACTCTTACTGAATGCTGGATATGATTACAGAACAGGAAAATAACATATAGTCATTCGAGAGGACTACACTCTCCTAAACCTCACTTTCACTCACTTAATTCCTGCTTCTGCCCTACAGGTTGCCTCTCTCTATTTATAGATCCTAACTAATTTTCCCCCCACTTGCCATAATAGAATTCTATTAATGTATATTCATCTCAATTCTTCCGAGCTCTTCTAGAATTGGAGGCCTATCATTTACCTGTTAAATCTGCTGTCATACTTTCTTCCTGCTGGAACATTGTCTGCCAGCAAGTTGATTAATTGGTTGTCTTCGCAATATTTTCTTTAAAAAATAAAAATACCCAAGGACACTATTACATCACAAATAAATACAAGAAATTTTTTTAATCAACGCTAGTTCCAAGCTTTTATTGAATTTGTTATGAAAAATTATAGCAAAAATAACAAAGAATCAAGTTTCGTTTTAAATGAATTTGAGGTTGAGCCCCTGGTTGTGCCACCTTATTTTCTTATTAAAATGAAAAATATGATTGTTATCCATCACATCAACATTTAAATTCAAATTTTCTATCTCTTTTGTGGACCCTAATAACGGCTATATTTTTCATTCTCATTCTACAAAAAAGTAGCTCAAACAAGGCCTGAGTACATGATTAAATTTTTCACTTGACGTGTGTGATGTTATATTGTGAACGTAGGAGACCTTACGTCTTCCTATTGCCCCTTTCACGCATTGGATAAAATTAGAACTATACCCTCCCAAAATTTGAAAGATCTAACAAAATCTGAAATATTTTTGCGAATGTTTTGGACCGCATGCCTTCCTAATGTCCTTTTCGGAACATATTAAAATTATATGGTAACAAAAAATTTTAAAAATTAGGTTTTGTGCGATGCAACCTGATATGTGCAATTTTGTGTGACCCAAGCATCCTGACCTCATGCTCGGGGTTGAAGTCCTATCTCAACTCATTGTCCTGACATTATCCCCCGATATGTCCTCGAAAAATATTGGAGTCCTCGGGACACTACCCCCGAGGACTATCACCACGGTTTCACGAGATTTAGATGGAAATGTCCTCGGGGTAAGTCCTCGGGATGACCTTTTCATGCCTAGGGTATGCGTGTGCTCGGGAACTTTGCTCGAGATTGTTGTGCTCGGGTCATTTACTTGGATCATTCTGACGTACTCCTAAGTCAAAATACGTTAGTCCTTGTCCAATGAGGATCCTAACTTTACTCAATCACTCCAACCTAAAGAATCCTAAGTCAAAGAGGATTGTTGTCTTGGATAAACATAAATTGGGGCTCCTAATTATGATCCAACACTTATCCCAACAAACGCTCCTAGAAATAAGGATACGAATCCTACTTGAACTATACTACCTACCACTATAAATATGACACTCTCATTCATTATCAAGATACGTTTTACACACATATATTCTCTCAACTTCCCTATCTGACTTAAGCATCGGAGGGGCGACGAGGACACACCTCGACGCATTTGTTTCAGGTACCGGAAGATCTTGTTCGTGAACATCTCAGTGATCAAGCTCGGAATTCAACAAGTGACGATTTTTGGTAAGATCACAACCTTTTAAGGATCAAAACCAATATGGCCTTTTTCGAGCAGGTTCACGGGTTGGACCATTATTATAAATGAGCCATGTTGTGTTTGATTGTCTAGTCCGACCACTTATTTGACTCGATTTATTTAAAAACTTACATAATATAAATTTATAAGAGTTGTTCAAATACTCTTATCTTTTACATTTTTCACACAATCTCTTGTCAAGCTATAGTATAGTAAATAATATTGACGCATCTATTATTGCTGCTAAACTCTAGTTATAAATTATTTTTATATTTCGCAAATAATTTAACAATGTTATCCACAAATATGACAATGAGATTTTTTTTTTTTTTTTNTTTTTTTTTTTTTTTTTTTTACAATTTGATTTTAAATCATATTAATTTTATAGTAAAAAATAAATAAAATAAGGTGGGTTTGACCGACCCGACCCGACCCGACCCGACCATGTTGGCAAATTTGTGGATTTGTCCGCTCCTTAGATTTGGAAAACGATTTGGGTCAATTCAAGCTCACAATGGGCCTGAATCATATTTGAAATGTAGAAGAGTTTGGTCCGACCATATTCACCAATTTTGACACATCTAAAAATGAAAAATACGACTGTTATTCATTACATCAAGCCATCAATTTTAAATTACCATATCTTATGTGGAGTCCAACAACGACTATATTTTTCATTCTCATTCTATAATAATGAGAATCAAACGGAATAAAGTATAAATTCAATAACTCACTTAGCACCGTTAGATATTGATTTAAATTAGATTTTATTTTAGATTAAAATCAAACAATATTAATCAATGAACCCTCGTTTGATATTCATTTTTTTCAAAATACATTTTTCTCTTGTTTCAAATTTACATTATTCAATTAAATAATATCATGCTCAAATCAAGACTTTTCCTTATTCTTTAATTACACATTTTTCATCAAATCACTATTCCAAAATATAAGGAGTTGTTCTCTTCGTATTTTAATTTTTAGTTTTAAGTTTTGAATTCATTTTGAATTTTGTGTTTTGAGTGTCCATTTTGAAATTGCTGAAAACCCATTATTTTTGTGATTTTGAAATATTATTTTCAAAAATTAAAAAAAAATGAAAATTTTACTTATTTTAATTGAAAACCACAAAAACGACTTTTTTGACATTTTCCGTTTTCTATGTAAATTTTAAATTCGTTTCTGAAAATATGTAATTAAACGTATTTTCAGTATTTTCAAAAACTGAAAATGACCTGAAAATAGTAAAGAATTTTTTTAACACACATTTTAAAATTTTTTATCAAAATTAAATAAAAAATTAATTTTAATTCGAACAGTGACTTAAATTTTGAAATCGAGACCATCCAATTATGGAATATTGAAATGATTAAAAAGACATCTTGAAAACTACACCCCGAAGCCTCCACCGCCACAAAGCCATCTTTCATGGGCCCCATCCCTTTGAAATGATACTTCCAATCCAACGGTCTTTTGGATAAAGCCACTATGCATAGTTGTAATTTGTGAAACCAAAAAATAGCTTAAAATACTAATTAAGGCAAAAATTTACTTGTGGTCATCCAACTTACAGATTCATTTCACGTTAGTCACCCAACTTCAGGTTTGTTTCAATCTAATTACCTGCACAGTGCCCTTCAATTTTTGTTCTATTCAAACATTTTTCAATTGATACCACAACTAATGAAATCCATAACTAGGTGTGTGTTTCGGTTTCATTACAACCTTCTTATGAAAAGGATTTAAAGAAGATTATAATAACACGAATAATGAATCTCGTTGTATTAAAATTGAAGTTTGACTTTAATTGAAAATTGTAAATAATTTATAGATCTTGTTTGGGAATGATTAAAATTCAATTAAAATTGAAAATATAGTTGTTATTGGGTCCCACTCGTCTAATAAAAGTCAACTCTAACGACTATATTTTCAATTTTAATCAGATTTTAATCCCTCTCAAACAAGCTCATAGTATTTTCAAATGGATTACCTTTAATTGAACATATCAAATAATACAACATAAACGAGTGCTCTATCATCATCGAGGTTAGATAGCATTATTCATAAATATTGGATACAGACATGTGAGATGTTTCACTAAAATTTTGGCAACCATTATTGAAAAATAATTAAATTAAAGAAAATAAAAGTTAAATTCAAATAGAAATACAAGTTAGGTGATCAAATTGAAGGTGAGCAACCAACATGTAACAAACTTGTGAATTATGTGACCTCCAATGAATATATTAATATTTCAAACCCACCCTTTGCTCTTAATTAAAATATATTAATAATGTTTGATACGGAACAACATGAAGACCTGACCGGACTCATGTCGTCATGTATGCATTTTACTTTTAATTCATTAAACTAAATTGTGTATTTGCTCCTTAATGATAGATTATTGAGGGATTAGTGAAACGATGGCGTTTAACTGGCTCCAACCTCATGATCTGTTGCAAAATCTTTTTTTTTTTTTGTCGGCATTAACGGCTGAATGCTCATCAGCCTCCACTTTCCAATTTTAAAATCACAGACTCTCTCTCTCTCTATACGTACGATATGGGTATGTGTTAGTTCACCTGAGCTGATGAACTGACCTTCCTATTTTGGTTGGGTTTCAGAGGATATTCATAAAGAATTTGAAAGAAGAAAGTAGCCATTGATTGATCTGCGTTTAAAACCCAAAGCCCTACATTTTTTATAATTTTTTTGTGTTTTTGATATGAAATGGGATCAATGAAGGGAGCAAAGTTCGATTCATTGATCTCACTGAGTCGACTCAGATCGATTCAGGCGTTGTTGGGTCTCTTGTTTTTGTATCTACTATTGGTGAGCTTTGAGATTCCGTTAGTTTTGAGAACTGGGCTCGGGTTGGAGTCATCTGAGGTCCAGTCCACTGAAATCCTCATCTCCCATCCAATTATCAGAAGCGTAAATGATAACCAGTTTTCGAGAAAGGAGAAGGAGAAACAGGTTTTCCGGTTACCGGAGCGGAAGATGGGCGAACATAAGAATATTTCTGGCCTCATTTTCGACGAAAATGCGTTTAATAATAGCGTCAGTAAGGATGCAATCTCGGAGTTGCATAGAGCAGCCAGGGACGCGTTTGTGCTGGGAAAGAAAATTCTAGAGGAATGCGAGTCGGGGAAAACCCGGGCCGCGGTAGAGAACCGGACGATGAAGATGGCCGCGGAGCCGTGCCCGAACTCTGTGTTTGTGTCTAGGGAGGACTTTTTGAAGAAGGAGAATTTGATGTTGATACCGTGCGGGTTGTCTTTGGGCTCCCACATAACAGTGGTGGGGATGCCGCGGTGGGCCCGTGTGGAGAGCGAGTCAAGGATCGGTCAGGTGAAAGAGGACGGGGAGAGCGTGATGGTGTCGCAGTTCATGATGGAGTTGCAGGGACTGAAGTCTGTGGATGGTGAGGACCCTCCGAAGATACTGCATTTTAACCCACGGATTAAAGGGGATTGGAGTGGCCGGCCGGTGATTGAGCTGAATACATGTTATCGGATGCAGTGGGGATCTGCACACCGGTGTGAGGGGTGGAGGTCCAGGGCCGATGAGGAAACTGGTATGGGATTTTAAATTCAAAGTTAATGTTGTCAAAATGCATAAAGGTTGATATGAATTGTAACTCTGATGATTCATTATACTTATTTTCATCTTTACTTGTTGCTTTAGAGAAAAGTTTTAAATTGGCTTACATAGTATTGATAAATGCTGATCAAAGGTTGGTTTGATGCTATGAACTGGTTTTTGGATTGAAATTATTTGAAGAAACATTAATCAAACATAGAATTGTCTGTTTGAAGGGACTTGATTATTTGACTCTCAATTGTATTGTGGATGAGTAGTAATAGGTTGATACAACATTTCCAATTCATTCTTCTATTGAAGTTTCAATCACTTTAGATGTTTAAGATTTACCTGATTGTAAGCTGTGTAAAACTATTTGATGTTAGTAAAGACCAGTTTGCAAGTTTAGACATGTAATGTAGTTTAGCCCCCTGTTTGAGCCACATTAAAATTTTCATTCTCATTCTTCTACTCATTTTCAACAATACATTTTTCAATAAAATAATATTTTTCATCACATCAATAATTTTTCCTTCTTTTTCAATCATACATTCTCTATCAATCTACTATTCCAAAATACATTCTCCCAAAATAATGTGACTCAATAATGTGGCTCAAACACACCTTTATTATTTGATCTTTGATTTGACCCTTTACTGCATATAGTGTGTTCTTTTATTTTTAATATTTTGAATTGTATGAAGTTGATGGACAGGTGAAATGTGCAAAGTGGATACTCGACAATAATAGTCGCTCTGAAGAATCAAAGGCCACATGGTGGTTGACAAGGCTGATTGGGAGGACAAAGAAGGTTACGGTTGATTGGCCATACCCTTTTGTTGAGGGCAAGTTGTTTGTTCTTTCACTCAGTGCTGGGTTGGAAGGGTATCATATTAATGTAGATGGGAGGCATGTCTCTTCATTTCCTTATAGGCCTGTGAGTATTCTTGCTTCAAATCTTAAATGGGGAAATTGTAAAAAATGCAGACATCTGAAATACGTCTTATCTTGGCAGGGTTTTACTGTTGAGGATGCCACAGGTCTGTTTCTAAATGGGGATGTTGACGTGCATTCTATTTTTGCTGCTGCATTACCCACATCGCATCCAAGTTTTGCTCCACAGAGGAATTTGGAGCTCTCAACAAAGTGGCAAGCCCCACCTCTTCCCATTGGACCAGTGGAGTTATTTATTGGCATCCTTTCTGCAGGCAATCATTTTGCTGAGAGAATGGCAGTTAGAAAGTCCTGGATGCAGCAAGGAGCAGTAAAGTCGTCAAATTTTGTTGCTCGTTTTTTTGTAGCAATGGTAAGAATCTGCAATGAATAGGAAATATCCATTGGAGACGTCATTTTTAGTTTAATCTTTACTATTAATGTCCTTAAATTGCTGGAATTCAAACTGTGGCAGCATGCAAGAAAGGAAGTGAATGTGGAGCTTATGAAAGAAGCAGAGTTTTTTGGCGATATTGTTATAGTACCTTACATGGATAATTACGACCTAGTCGTACTGAAGACTGTTGCAATTTGCGAGTATGGGGTGCGTTTTCAATCAAATTGAAGATCTGATCCTCCCCTGTTTTTGCCTAATTATTTCTGTAGCATTCAAGTAGTTGCTTTTTGCAGGTACACACGCTGGCTGCAAAGTACATTATGAAGTGCGATGATGATACCTTTGTAAGGCTAGATGCAGTGATGAACGAAGTGAAAAAAGCCCCAACTGGTAGAGGTTTGTACATTGGAAATATCAATTACTATCACAAGCCCTTACGGCATGGTAAATGGGCAGTTACATATGAGGTGCGATATCTTATTCGTCAAATTATTTAATTTTAAGAAAATTCATTTACATTTAAGACCTTGATGCCTCTCCACCCCCTTCAATATCCACATTGCTTTTTGCAAGCTATATTGAATTTTGTTTTCTTTAAAGTTTATGATGCTCATTCTAACTTCAATATTATTGTCTAATAAAGTGGATCACTTAGATCCATTTTGTCCAAGTTCAAAATGAAGTTACATTTTTCTTAGGGCCTCTTTGATAGGTCCTTTTTTTCCATGGAAGTTGGAATTGNTGATAGGTCCTTTTTTCCATGGAAGTTGGAATTGAAATTCCATTTTCCTATTTTTGCCATATTTGATGGCAATTTTTTTTTCCCTAGAATTGGTTTTCCACCTTTGCTAGTTTTCTTGGTTTTAGTTGAATTGAAATTCACACCGTTTAGGTGGGAATTGAAATTCCATCCTTTTTTTTTTTGGCAATGAAAACAAATTCTATCCCCAATTGTAAAAAAAATTATCCCTTTAATTGATAATTTCCATGTAAAACAAAGTCAAACGAACGCCAAAAATTTTCCTTTTTTTTAGGCAATCCAAACAAATTATATCTCCAATTGTAAGAAATTATATCCCTTCAATTGATAATTTTTATGAAAATCAAAGTCAAACAAGCACCAAATTATAGAAAATTTAAACATTTTTCAGGTGGAAAATTATACCAATCAAACACAATTAATTAACAATTCCCAGTATAACAAATTCTAGGCAATTCAATTTCCCGCAATTTGTTTTCTTTCCACCCAAATTCCATCTTTGAATCAGACGGACTCTTACTTTTAAATAGAAAAACCTTATAAGTTATATTTGTAAGTGACATATGAGGTGCCATATCTTAGTTTGTCAAATTATTTAATTTTAAGAAGATTCATTTACCTCTCTCCCTCCAATATCCATGTTGCTTTTCACAAGCTGTATGGAATTTTGCTTTCTTTCCGATTTATGATGCTCATGCTAACTTCAATAATTATTGCCTGATAAAGTGGATAGACTTGGATCAATTTTGTCCAAGTTTAAAATGAAATTACTTTTAGATAGAAAAACTTATATTTGTAAGTGACTTTAACAAATTATGCTTGGGAAATTGAAAAGCATGAAGATCAATTGATGTGATATATGCTGGTTAATGACAATTTTGCTTTTGGGATTGTTTGTTACAAGTGCAACAAATGATACATGCAGTGGTTGTGCTGAGTATTAAACTAAAAATCTTAGTAAAGTGATATGCCCCGCCAGCCCAAAAAAAATTAAAAAAATTCACCTTTTGCTAATGCTCTATTCTTGGATATTTTGTGTGGGGGAAGGAAGTGTCAGACTGTGTGGAGCCTAATCATATTATTGACATAGGTTTGTCCTGGTTTCCTAAACTACAAAAAGGAAACCGAAGATCTCATCTTGGTCAAGTTAGATAGAGGTGTGATGAGGAAAATCAAGTTTTTTTTTTTAGTGAAAATCTGTAAAGGCAAGTGGGAGTAAGTCTTACATCGAAAGGATAAACAAATATAAATCTTACAGTATGTTTGTGTGCGTTTCTGTGTTTTGTCATATTCGTTTTTGCTTTTGGGCATGGATTAGTGTTTAATTGCTGACAGGAAGCAATTAATGATAATTTTCTCACTTCTATATACTATTTTATGGATTTGTAGGAATGGCCAGAAGAGGACTATCCGCCCTATGCTAATGGACCTGGTTATATTGTGTCGTCTGACATAGCACAGTACATTGTATCCGATTTCGAGAAACATAAACTCAGAGTAAGTCTAATTTGATTTGATAAAGTCAAATCTCCTGCTCTTGCATCTGTATACACTTGCTTGGTTATACTTGTTTGGGTGAGTGGGCCAGCATGAGCTGGGCGGCCTTTTGGTGCGTCGTTTTTGCCCAAATTATCTTTACGAACCTCTCTCTTATACCATGTCTCAGTTATTTAAAATGGAAGATGTTAGCATGGGAATGTGGATAGAAAAATACAACAGGTCAACACCAGTCCAGTACGTGCACAGCTTGAAGTTCTGTCAGTTTGGATGCATTGAAGGTTATTTTACAGCACACTACCAATCTCCTAGACAGATGATCTGCTTATGGAAGAAATTGCAGCATCAAGGAAAACCAGACTGCTGCAATATGAGATGACAACTCGTCACACAGATGGCATATGCATATTGCTTATACTCAAAATGGGTTTGAAAGATCAGACGAGAAATAATTTTTTGTGGGGATAGGCTTTGTACATAGTTTGTGCAAGCTGAGATTTTGAACGGTTGTGTTAACCCATTTAGTTTATTCATTTTCGAGTCTTCTTTCTTTCGGGGCCCATTTTTATTGTTTTGGCTAGCATATGCTAAGAATTTTGCTGGGAAATTGTATGGATACAGTTTTGGCAACTACATTGGTTATATCCCATAGTTATGATGGTATGAAAAAATAAAAAAAAAAAACAGCGGAAGCAATGAATCTTATCGTTGAAAAAACTAATAAATTGTATTCTATTGAAACTTTTAATGACTTTTTGAGAAAGTTTAGGGATATTTGTTTAGGCTTCTCTAAAAATATTGGTGTATTCAATTGTGACTTTTATATACTTACATTAGATACGGCTTATTCAATTAAAACATTTTAAAAGTTTCTATAAGTTTTGGGATATTCAAATCGTCAATGACTTTTAAAGATTTTTATGAATCATTGCGTCCATTTGGCCCCCATTATTCCAAATCATAATGAGAGGAATAGTAAATTTTTGAAGAATGTGTGGTTAAAAAAAAATGACAAGTTTTTAGGTTTACTACACATATTATTGTATTAGAAAATGTGTAATTGATAAGAAGTGAGAGAAAAAATGAATTATGATTTATTGGAGAACAAAGGGGGGCCAAACCGGGGCTTTATATGGTACTAAATTCTTGTTTGACAATCATTATTTTCAAATTCTTTTTTCTTCATACTCATTTTCAAGCACACATTTACAAAATAAAATATTCTGCACATAAATTCAATTTTTTTTTCATATTTTTTAATTATATATTTTCCTAAAAATCACTATTCAAAATTGTATTTTTCCCAAATAAAGGTTGTCAAACAGTAGAAAGTATAAAAATAAAATCTCAAAAACTGTTTCTTATTCATCTCAAGATTTTTGGAGACTTTCACAAAAAATAAAATCAATATGTACTTTTTAAAAAATATTTCTCTTCTATTTTTGCGGACATTAGAACCACGATTGCAAAAAAAAATTTTAAAAAAATTTAATAGTGATATTTGAAAAATTATAGGTGTTTAGACCCAACTACACTTAAATGTTGAATTAATCAATAATAAACAATAAGTAAATTATTGTTTCTAGATAATTAAACAAAATCTATTTAAACTCTAAATGTCAATCAATATAAATAGATCAAAATCATAAAAAGTATGAACACCAAATTTTGGTAACGAAGGAAAGCTGCTTGAAGAACTCTACATAGGGATCAAAAACATTTGAGCAAACCTTGTCAAAAGATCCACTAGAATTTTTTTTTTTTTTTTTTTTACAATTGGTCCAAATACTATTAAATCTTAGATAACTCTAACCAATGAATCTGTAAATTATCGAAGAACCTCTTTGATTGTGCACCCCGCACTTTCCAAAACTCTGGACTTCATTTCCCTCAGCGTCGATCATCAAGAACGAACCTCGTTCTAGAACAACTGAAACTCCAAGTTGTTTCTTCTAAACTTCAGAACTCTGAAAGTTTATTGGAGAAAGTAAGGATTTTTGGTGTTTAATCTAATGATCTTTTGTGTTTTGATTTTTGGTTGAAGCAAGAGAATAATGAAATCAATGTTTGATCTTCAAAGGATGTTCTCTTGATTGAAAGCAATGCTCAACCAATAATGAAATAATGTTTGGAACGAATTATGAAGAATTGATCCAAGTGGTTGAATCAAGAGATTTTTGGAAGGTGTATTATGCTTTCTAATATAAAATAATGATTCAATATATTATGGGACGGACCTATGTTTAGTATTTATAATATGGAGTGTTTGATGTTGAATATGATTAGAAAATTAACTTAAAATCGCGAATTAGGAGTTCCCAGACTCTATTGCCGCTAGAGCGTTAGGTTAGCATGTAGCAAGCGAGCAAGCGGTAAGTTTGTCGTTCGAGCGCCTGCCTCGCGCTCATAGAGAAGCGATATCTATGCTTTGAGCACTCGAGTGCACCTCTTGCGTTCACCGAGCAATTTTACATTGACTTTTTCTCCTTGGTCCATATTTGACACCATTGACTCTTTCATGACCTATACTATCAATCTACAACTATTTTGACTTTAATTACAATTCAATAACACATGATTTTGGACACTAGAATAGCCAATTACAATTTGGATCTAACAATATTTGTTTCTATTTTTCTATTTTGTTCTCTCTTTTATTGTTTATCTCCATTTTCTATGAAAACATTATATTATAATTAAAAATTCTTGGAACTTTTTTTCCATCCATTTTTTATGAAGAAGATTTATTTTTAATTGCATTATCAGATTTTACATAAGAAATACTAGTTATTTAAATTTAAATATATTGATTTCTTGTTTACTCTTTAAAGTTATGTCATATTAATAATACTGAACATGAAATCTTTTTATTATTTTTTTACCAAAAATATTGAATATATATTGTTTTGATTATTATTTTTTCAACTAAGGTGACTTAAATTTTTTTTCTTTTAAAAATATTTTTTATTATGTGAACATGGGAAACAGGATTGTGGAAACCACCACCTCATAGCGGCAATGTCTTAGCTTTGAGCGCTCGAGCGCACCTCGCGTGTTCACCGAGCAATTTTACATCGACTTTTTCTCATTGGTCCATATTTGATATCATTGATTCTTTCATGACCTATACTATCAATTTGCAACTATTTTGACTTTAAGCCCCCGTTTGGCACCCATTCACATTATCATTTTTTTTTCTATTTTTTCATTTCAATCACACATTCTCCTAATAAAATAATATTACACACAAATCTAAAATTTTTCATAACTTTTCCACCACACATTCTCCCATCAATTGCTATTCCAAAAATTCTATACTCCAAAAAATGGGTGTTAAATACCCTCTAAGTACAATTCAATAACACATGATTTTGGACACTAGAATAGCCAATAACAATTTGGATCTAACAATATTTGTTTCTATTTTTCTTTTTTGTTCTCTCTTTTAGTTTATCTCCATTTTCTATGAAAGCATTAAATTATAATTAAAAATTCTGGTACTTTTTTTCCATCCATTTTTATGAAGAAGATTTATTTTTAATTGAATTATAAGATTTTATATAAGAAATACTAATTATTTAAATTTAAATATATTGATTTCTTGTTTACTCTTTACAGTTATGTCATATTAATAATACTGAACATGAAATCTTTTTATTATTTTTTTAACTAAGGTTACTTAAATTTTTATTCTTTTAAGAACATTTTTTGTTATGCGAAGAGGGGAAAGAGAATTGTGGAAACCACCAACTCATATGGGAGAACTTCATACTATTGTAATAAATCTACGTCAATTCTATCTTAAATGAAATTTTTTAAAAAGCCTTAAATTTTATAAAAGTTTATAAAAAATTTAAAATGAAAGTCTACAGAAGCCTACAAAAAACTTTCATTAATTCCATCCAAATTTTTATAAGTTCATGAAATTCACAAAATGTTCACATAAAAAAATCTCTAAAAATTCTTTTGAGTCCAAATTGACCATATCCCTCAAAATATTATCATTGTACCCTTACGGTCCTAAGTGTAACTCATAAATATGAGATTTTAGTTCTTAATAAAGTACACACAAAACTATTGACTTCTCTATTTTTCTTCTCTATTTAATTATATATTTTTTGCATAAACTGCCAATTATGCCCCTGTTTGAGATCCATTTTTGGGTATGTTTGAGTCATATTATTTTGAAAGAATGTATTTTGAAATAGTAAATTGATGGAGAATGTGTGGTTGAAAAAGAAAGAAAAATTATTGATATAATGAAAAATATTATTTTATTGAAAAATGTGTGATTGAAAATGAGAATGAAAATTTTAATATGACTCATATAGGGGATTAATGAGTTTTTGAGGATAATGTATTTTTGAATAATGAGTTTTAAAGGAAAATGTATTTTGGAATAATGATTTTTTTTTTTTGAAAATATGTGGTTAAAATGAGGAGGGAAAGAAATGTATTAAATTATAACGAAGACGAAATAGGGGCTATAACTATGTGGAGACAAGTTCTTTAAGATGTGACCTTCAAAATTTATAACTATTAAAATATGAAATTTATTTTTATTTATTACTAGTCCAAGTTAGGATAATTTTTTTATGATTACATGGATATAATTCCAATGTAGAGTCACTATAGTGAAATCTTACTGTACATATATTTATGTGTGTATTATAATATTTTAATTCATGATTTTGATACGTTAATCAGATTTTTAAAGGCTAATTTTGACAGCCCTCTTATTGCTTTTCTTGCTCTTCATATAAATGGATAGTAAATTATCACACTAATCTCGACATAATCAATTGCTCTTTCTTAGTACAATTCGCAGACACTATTTATATATGCATATTTCCCTAAGTTAAATTATTAAATATACAAACAACAACAAAGTGAGTTATAATTTTTTTAATAGTCATAACTTATTACGCGACTTTAGTATAATTTGGGTGAGCAATGTTTAAGTTGAATGATTTGGCTGAATTGTGATTTTCTTAATGGTCGTAACTTGTCACGTGAGATTTGACGAATGATGAATGGAGTGCAAATGAACAAAGTTCAGTAAACATTGTGAAATATTTTGAAGTTAATGAGTAAACAGTGACCATGATATAAATTGAGCGAGTAATGAAATATTAAACTCCGTTTTAAGAGGCATGTAGAAAAATTAATAAAAACGAAATAAAAAAGAAATTCCAAAGTGATAAAAAAAGGAATAACATCTTAGGTTGGAGGCAAGACCTGTTCTTCCATGGGCAAAACAGAAGAAAAAACACTTTTAAGGACAAGATGTGAGCACAAAAAGTAGCTATCATCTTGTTTTGGAGTCGAATAATTCGTTTCTTGTTGAATGATTCCATGGAATTTTCTAGTTGAATGATT